ACCCTTTTTTCCGTATACGTCTTTTGTAGATTTTCTTTGTTTCATTAAACCATATACTTGTATATAGCTCGTCTCGGTTTTCTGTCATATTTACCCTGTTTCTGAGTTTTGGGAGGAAAACCCGCATTTGCGTGTTTCCACTCCGGCTCCTGTTAGTTGCCAGGGGAACGTTAGCCGAAGGGCTGGCCTTTCCCATATCTTATAACATCCTTGAGGCTTTGTTTGTGGGTAGCCCTGGTGAGAATATATTACTATTCTCACCAGGGATTCCTTCAAACGATGGTGAATTTCAGCATGTTACGTGACTCCAAACCCCTGGAATTTTAGCATGAGAATGGTTATGCAACCTTTGACACGTTTTTTGGCTATATAATCTTATTCCGGTGCGGTCAGTCCTTTATAACCTCAAAAGTCCTTTCCACGGCGTTTGAGGAGGTTTAGCTAAGTGCGCCCCTCCCTCCTCCCCGCAGCGATGATAGCGCCTACGCTCCAGGTAGCTACCTACTCACTTCCGCCTCGGGCTGGCCTTTCCCATATCTTATAACATCCTTGAGGCTTTGTTTGTGGGTAGCCCTGGTGAGAATATATTACGATCGTATGTCGTGGGAGAGAGATAAACAGGAATTGTTCATTTGGGTTTCTTTACGCTTGCGTATCGATTTTTTTTTTGGCCAGTGAGGTTGTATTAACTGAACCAATTAATTTTTTTAATAACCCATTTTTTCCCTTTCATTGTGATCTCGTGATGTACTGACTCTGAATGTTTTATCGACCTATATAGCATCATAACGTTGAGAACTTAATTTGAGGTGTAGTACTCCTATCATTATCGAGAACTTGACGTTGAGACTAGTCTGTCAGTCCGCCCAAGGAGTTCAGATATAGTAAAGGAGAACTTAGTGATTTAAAAATCCTGCTGGCAGAAATTTGCCTTTTTTATACTCAAAAATAAAAAGCCTGTCATCCAAGGAAGATCAAGCAGGTTAATTCTTTTTATAAAATAACTAAGATAGTACGCGCGCTCTGATTGGCCGAGAGGAGCGTTTGCATGAGAGTATGTAAACATGGTTGTGGCGTCAAGTTGTTTGGCTTTTCGTGCGCTAATCACGCAAGCACGAATTTGAAAAAGTTTTCGAGTTCAAAACTCGACAAGTTTACTTTATTTACCCATTCCTTCGTCGGCTGAAACTTGAAAAATCGTTACAAAGAAGGTGTGTCAATTTTTTTTCGCTTAAGCTGACATTTTAAGCGAGAAAATCCGTGTTTTGGAAAGCATCTTTTTGCAAAACAAGAACTGATTACTCGTGCAAGACTTCGTGGACAAGGCTTTGCGACTGGTAAGAATTTCTCTTTTAGTCAGTGCCATAACAAAGAGTTTTGCGTTTTTTCTCGGGAAAGTTATTTTATAAAAGCAATAGGAACCTTTTTTCCTGTGTTTGCATAGCCTGATATAAACACTCGAGGCGTTGGGAGAATTCTCGACAGTTATGCAAACCCTCGACTTCGTCTCGGGTTTGTATAACTGTCTCGAATTCTCCCAACCCCTCTCGTGTTTATATCAGGCTATGCAAACACGGAAAACGTTTTCTATTGCTTAAATAGTAGGTTACAGTCGTATTATCACAAACATTTCAGCCTAGGAGTTTAACCTTGAGATAGACAATTTATATCACAAAAAAGTACATCATTATCTATGAACTTTATTTATTTATTCATAGTATATATTTTTTATCATACAACTGGTCTGTTGTTTGAATATAACAAAACAAAAGGATAGAAAACACTTAGGTGTAGTTGGTTTTAACCCTCGTATATACTGTTTGGTCGTTTACATCTGAAATTCAAACTCTAATCCAGTTCCTTTCAGTTTTGACAACACCTCTTTATCAAATCTCTCATTCAGCTCTGGAGTGAAGTAGTTCTTCCAATCTCCGACCACGCCCTTTCGTAACAAAGCTGAAGTATTTTCTTTGTCGTCGACTGTGTAACTTGTCATATTTTCCTGCATGCCCTTGAGGGTGCACTGCTTTGCGATGCGACTGAAGAGTTCATCTGACAAGGGCTTGTTCAAGAAGTCAGCAATAATTTGAACATGAGAGGGCAGATCCTAGGAGAAATTAATATTAATTCAGTACCGTACCGTTGTAGATTTAAGTACCTATTTATCAAAGAAGTTCTCAGCACACCAAATCAGTTTTTCCTCAGGTCATGTAGTAATTAAACTGGAATGGTTATGAAACCCGTTAGACTCCTTTGTTACATTATGTTGTTATACCTTTTTTGGACCGTGCACAACATACAATATCATTCGTATCATTTTGATTTTACTGACAGGTAGAAATATCGCATTAATTTATTCAGTCACAATTGGTGAACAAAAAACAAAAGATTGTGCATGGTCAAGGGGTTTCTAACATAAACTACAGATCCGTTGGTTTCAACTTTGGTGTTTGTCGGCTTTCATAACCAGTCTCCTGGAGAACTACATTTTGGAAACGCATTTTACAGTTTGAGATCTCCAGCAGAATGTATGGGTAACCGCAAAAGTGCTCCCCACCTCTCCAACCCCCACGCAGAAAAGAAAAACAACTCAAACTCGTGACTTCTTGCGTACACTAAAATAACCGGCAGCTGTGTGTAAAGGTAAACTCAGACTTCATTAACCCTAGGCCCCCAAAACTTTAAATTAAACTGAATCACTTCAAAACCCTTAAAGCTGTGACCGACTTTTCCTGAAATTTATCTGGGAACAATTTTTTTTAAAAGTGGTGGTGAAGTGTTCGTCAACGTTGACGTTACCATGCCAACCGAGTTTTGACAGCCATGTTTTTCAAAACTTGCATTTCTGTTATAAAAATGGTTCTTTTCTAGATTTACCTAGAGAATTATTATACTGCATTTAATTAAGTATTATTTTATCAATAAAAGCAGTCCATGAATGTAATCCAAGAATTTTATTTACTCGTGTAAGAGAAACATGAATTTAAAATGACAAAATGGCAACTTTTGGGTTCAGTTTTCAAAAGTATTCATTTCTCGCGGAATTTCATCACCTGCATTTTTTTTTTGGGGGGGGGTGGGGGGGCGTGGGGACTTCTTATTTAGGCCTGGTTCTCAAGGCGAACTTTTCATGAACGAACCTAATTCGAATTAAGGCAGCCCCTAATTATTTAGACCGGCAGAATTGATTCAGACGCCGATCTTAATTCCCCCCTGGACCTAAATTCAAAAGGAGAAAAATGCTCATTTTGGTCAAACTGCTTGCATTAGGTTAGGTTAGGTACACGAAAAGTTCGGCGTCTGAATCAAAGCTTTCCAAAGTCGTTCCAAAGTCGAACTTCCCCGCCGGGCTAGGTGGGAAGAACGACTAAGCCGTTCTACATTGAAATAGGTGTTCCTAATTGACTCAGACGCCGAACTTTTCATGAACTTAACTCAATGTATTAGGTTCGGCTCATACAGAGTTCGGCTTCTGAACACGGCCTAAGCATTGTTTAATCTTGTACTCAGATCTCACTCTGTTTTACGCTGAATAACCCAGATTAATCTTTGCCTTTAGTTTACCTTGTGTAAATCTTCATATTTGAGGAACAAGACATTGGGATCATCTCTGTGTTTCCACCAGTCAAGAACATGGTCATTCCAAACGTTATAGCCAACTACTCAAAACAAAATATTAAGCAACAGACCTTACTCAAGATACCCGCTATCTTTGCTCGCACTTAAGGACTCGTGGATCAAATTTGTTTATTCTAGACAATAGAAAATACAGAACTTTTCATCTTAAAAGGCGATAATGGCAAATTATGGGTGGGATTGATCGTTGTTATTTTTTTAATGCAGTGATGACTGTAAATGTTTTTACAGCGAGCAAAACTTGTCGAAACTCGACTGTATATTTGCACGACTAAAATTTGTAGTATCGTTTTAAGAAAGTAAACAAACTCGACCACAATTAATCATATCGACAAATTTTAACACTTGTTTCCCCCATGAAATATCGCGTGACATGTAGGCTTTGCAAGGGAGGGGAAGAGAGTCCCAGACATGCATCTTTCGTAAAATTAGCTAGTTTGGAGGCTACCAACTAATTGCTTCAGTAAAATTCTTTAAGTTTTTGTGTTTAGCTTACCGACAGAAAAACGTCAAAAATAAATTCTAACGCTTAGCCTTCAGCCAATCTAGTTTCAGATTGGTCAACTTTTTGGCAGGTGAATTCATGCGTAAAGACTTTAAAACAATACTAACACGTACGTATGATTTACTTCCATTTTTTTCATTCCTCTATATCAAACGTATCTCTTGACCATTGCCGTTGCCGTTACGTTACTTCACTTTCCTAATCAAGAAGGATGGTTGTTATTTTTCGTTTTAATCAAGTGGGAGATGTCTTAAAATGCTGTAATCACGAATACGACAAATAATGCACATTAAAAAATATCCTCTCTCCTCCTGCAGTATATTTACATAATGACTGCATACATATAATAAAACTTACCATTTCCCTCTATGAATAACTTTGCGAAAAATTCCCATGGTCCATTGTAATCAGTGCCAAACAGGTTCAAATAATCCGTAAAATGAAAATATGACACTGCTACATCCTTTGGGTTGCGGGCAACGTAAATGTATTTACACTGATCATCTTTGTTTGCACTTCTTGGAGTAGTGCTGTAGGTAAGGTGGGACTTTATCAGGCGTGGGCTTGGCAGAGTTTTAAGATGAATGAGCTCTACAAGCTTTTCGTGAGTGGCAGCCATTTCAAGAAATGGGACTCGAAGTGCTTGCTTAACACTGCTGACAGCTCCTTTATTGTAGATTTGCCAGACGATTTCCTGCACCCAAGTCGTCCCTGAATGAAGATTGATCATTTTTTAGAATCCATACATGTGTGTGATAAAAACTATAATATGCGAAAGGGCGCCCCTGAACAGGGTATGGTTTACGGGTCTTAAGTCTTTAACAGATTATGAAATTTCGATTCACCAATTGGTGTCTTGAACAGCGTGTCTTTTTAGACCGGAATCCTAAGCGGTCTACGTGTGTGGTACCTTCAATTTTTTCCAAAAAATATAACTCCATGACGTTAGTTTGAAAGATTATTGAAATTTGCACGCAAAACAAAATGAATCAGAGACGCAAAAACAGGCCTCTTGTCTTAAACAGAGAGACGAAATGAAAGATATTTGTTTTAAACGGAGTCAACGTTTGAAGGCCTAGGAGGCAAACTTCTACCCAAACTTTCCTTGAGTGACCCCCCCCCCCCCACCCTTTCCCCAGGTAATGGACTTACTTAGACTAGACTGCGAGCATTCTCTCTTTTTCTTCAGATTTAATGGGGGGAGAGCACACGCGCGCGAGCGTCGAGCGGAGAAACGAGGGCGGCAGCCTCCGGCTCGTCTTGCGTGTTCAGTCACGCGCGTTGTCACTTGCGAATCTCGCGCGTTTTGCTCGACGGACCAAGAAAAAAAGAGAGACTGCTTGTGGTCTACACTTAAACAGGATCACAAAATCAATTACTTCAAAATGCGGAAAGGAACACAAATACAGCAAAAGTAACTGTATTTTCTTATTCTTCACAATTAGCCAAGGGACCGGTCAATTTATAGCGAGTTTTAGCATTTCATTTTCAAGTTAAGAAGGAAGAGCAAGATATCAAAGATCACCTGAGCAGCCCGTATGACAAGTCTAGCAAGCTTAAAGATGGAAGGGGGAGCCGGTGGTGACCAAACGAGTTATCAAAAATCATTAAACATTCAAAAATGATTTCAAAGAAAAAAAAAAGGTAAAGAAGAGAAAGGCCAGAAGAGAATAAGAAGAGAATTTTCAGTACAATCTCCAAACTACTGTGTGTTAAAGGTGAGACTCCAATTCAGGAAGTCAATGTGGATGCGCTAAATATCCTTAAAGGGGAAGCAAATCAACTGGCTGAAAAAAAAAAAAAACAGAAAAAATGGTGGAAAGAAGGCTTATAACTGATCTAGCTTGTGAATTATCAAAGAGTACATGCCCTCCTACTGTGACAACAGCCCACCGACTTCAAATCTAATGACCGTCACCTAAGATAAAGCGATATTTTTCGAATTAAATATGTTTCCATATAGATACCAAGCCTATAAATCGCTTTGTTATGCAATATTATCAGTTGCACGTATTAATATTTAACCGGCGTTCACATAGAAAATTTGGGACGCCTATGTATAAGTGAGCTCAGGGACTCAACTTGTCTAGGAAGGAGGTCCCATTAAAAAAAAAAGAAAACGTTATTCAGTTATCTGATTTCGACAAAATTAAAATGAAGATGCACGAACCTGACTTAGGATAGGAAACCACAAAAACGTCGTCTGGTCGTGTCTCAAAATTGGAGATATAGTCGGCGAGCAACGCTGGATGTTTGGTGAAATATTCTGGAAATTTTACGCCCAAAACATCCCAAAGTCTTAGTGATCTCTGTTCGCCTTCTGTTACTTGAATTATAGGAAAACTTGCCATGATGTTAAATTGTTGCGTGTGCTGCTTTGCCACAAATAAGACAGGTCACGCGATACCCTCTGGTCCCCGCTGGCCTGGCGACTGCATTGGCATAATGAGGGTAACTGTGCATGATTAACCTATATTCACTTCTAGAAGTAGTGATTAAGGTCTAAATGCGCCGAAAATTCCAAATCATGGATTGTAAACTAGTGAAAAACATTTTGATACTGTAATAACATGCCAAGGGTACTGCCCGATTAAGTTCCATTTGAATGGTTATCAGATTGTAGGATTTTATCCATTGCCTAATTTCATACTTAAATGACCATAATTATGCATAGTCTTATATAGTAGGCCAATGGCTCTTTCTTCATTTGTATGAAATTCAGTAACACCATTTATACAAATACATGAGACAGGAAAATTAAACTGACAGGTGTGGAAAGTCACATTATTAGTGAATATTACCATTCATGACTGAATTGGAGAGTGCAAAGCGCTAGCATTACGCAATTTCAAGCACTGCTGCCCAATATATGCTAATTACATTGTTCATATACCCAAATATCAATGTCAGTGCAATTTGGAAGCGACTGAAATCGTCGATGTAATTCCTGCAAAGAGAGAACAATAGGGTTTTAGAAGGGTCAATAATTATACTAGATACGTGAGGAGCCGCATAACTTCCCTTTACTAATTACGTTGAGTGACGGTTGCTATGCTTAATTTCTTGTTATAATTTTCGTGCAGGTTACAAGGGTCAGACTGGCTGTCATCGATAGTGATTTTCACAGAGGCGATGAAACAATCCCAAATTTCGGAACTGTCTGGTAATATGGTTAAACCAGTATTAGCCGGGGTAAATAGTCGAGCGCGGTCTATTTAACTATTCTCCGGATCGGATCATACCGATCAAGCCATCATTGTATGGAGTATATGTGAATTCTTTTTTACGGTATCCTGGTCGAGAATTTCTTTGTTGATTCAAACTCATTTCCCTTAGAAGCTTGTTGGTATTTGAAAGAAAATTTTAACAGATCGGACAGGTTAGCAGAGTTCAAACTGAGATGGCCAGCCTTCCTTCGTCACATTGGTTCAGAAGCGAGGCCATTTCAGCCTTATCAGTAGGTTTACCTTGCGACACATTAATTCTGTTTTTTTTTATGACTTGCTTAATCGTAAGACGCCTTGAAGGTAAGGACAATATTCGAATTTACTTATTTCTGCCTCGAACATATCCGCGCCAAACCTCCTAAATGCCCGCCAAATTTAATATGGCGCGCTCGGGAGTGATCGTACAGTGTTTAGGAAGAAACAGGCCCAGCACAACTTCCACTGGAGGCAATTTTGTGTTACACAGGACGAAATTTCAAGAATCCGTAAATGGAAACGTAACGTAAACACGTTAAACCGTTGCGGAAACATGACCGCAATCACATGTTTCCGTTAGCGGATACATTACGTTTACCCGTGTTTCCGTCGCTGCGGTTCCGGCGGAATCGTACCACTTTTTTATACGTTTCCGTCAAATTTCCGTTTAAGCAAACACGTGTTTCCGCAAGCGTAAATGCTTGGCATCCTTACGGAAACACGCGAAAACGTTCCGGAAACAAGTCAATTTCATGTTTCCGTCAACGTAATCGGATGTAACTATTGCGGAAACACGAGTTTACTAGTTGGAAAGTGGTGTTTTCAAGTTATTTCCATCGTGAAAAAAGCGCTTTTTACCATCTTGGGTGGTTTTCCCGCCATCTATATGGTAACAAAAACCTATTCTCTCGACATTTTTATTGCACAAAATAATACCAAAGCAATCTTTCCAAGTACTTTCTTTATTCTCCTTGCTTCCTAAATTGACATTCATGTCTTCTTATAGTGTTTCTTCATTACATTGGTTAAGTTAAATTACATTTAATTAAGTGTGAGTGCCTATTCACACTAGCAATGAACAAGAATAGTAAGAGGCTTCCTTTAAGAAATCCACTAGCAATTTTCTGTAGCACAACGTAGTGTTTTTTTTTTTTTGGCAAAGAAAATGTCAAATCTGTTAACAAATTAATATCCTTTACAGCAGATAGTGATAAACACTTTCATGTGCAGCTTACGGCTAGTGATAGTTTTGGTTGTCTATAATATTTTAACAAAGTGGAATATGATTTGTCGGGTGAATGTACATTGTAGTCCTGAGTAGGGCTGTTGTTGACAGCGTGATCATCATTTTCACGGGCATTGTCAAAACAACAGTCGCACTAAGTACTATACTAACCTGTATGATCATATACCACTTACTTATATGACCATTCTGCTTGGGGATAATATTATATGGTGTCAGGAAATATTCTTTCTCTTCTGGCATGGTGGTCTAAACTACACAATTTACTATGACCAGTGCAAAGATTCAAATGCAAAAAAATGGATCAACAAACAAAGTATGGCCACAGTTTTACATAATACAAGTCTGCTAAAACCGTTCATGTCTTTCATGTATACGTTTTAGGTCACTTCTACGCGGAAGTCATTACTTAGTGTCTTTACGCATACACAAAATGCTCAACTTGTAGAGTTACAGTATGAATTGCGAAGAAGATACATGCATCAAGCCAATTTCATCAGGAAGCACAAACCATAATAATTCTTGGTAATTTATGCAGTCATAGCATTATTTTAAGCTTGAAAAAGTTGGCCAAGTTTCAATCCATGATCATCTTTGTCATACGTACTATTAAGAAGTGATGGGAAACAGTCCCAATGCCTCAATTAAGTATTAAATAACAAAACTGGACCATAATTTTTGGAACTTAATTTACGCTAAGACACATTTAAGCCTCTTAAAGAACAAAATATAGCATAGCCCTTTTAAAGCAATATAAAATGCCTCTCTGGAAAAGATGTTCACAAAGTGCTAATAATTATTATTATTATACATTGTAGTCACCATCTGTCTTCTCATTGGCTAAAACCCTACAGTTAATTCTGGGAAACAGCGCAACCTACAGATTATTCACTAATCTGTAGGTACACATTAGTGAATAATATGTAGGTTGCGCGCGCAATGCATGATTTCCAAGAGCAATGTCAAGGGCACGGACAGCAATGTCAAGTTCGCGGACAGCGAAGTAAGAATGGCTTCTCGATTCGCTTCATCGACCCAGCAAGAAATTGAGAAATTACTTGAAGATAAAGTATAATAAAACAATTATTAGATTCGGTTTTTGTGATATCCGGAATAATCAAGGTCTCGGTAAGTGTTATCACTTACCTCGACCTTGATTATTCCAGATATCACAAAAACCTCATCCAATAATTGTTTATTGTCATAAATGATTATGCGTTATTGACCAACATTTGGTCGAGATGGCTGGATATTGGCCAAGCTCTATTTTGCGAGGCCAATACCCAGCTGTCTTCACCAAACAAGCTTGATTGGTTTGCCCACTTGAGTAGCCTATCAGAACACAGGATTTGCTTCATCTTGTTGGCTTACAGATTCAACCATAAAATTGTAATAAATAATATTATTACGCTTTATTGACCGGGTGTGAGGTTAAGATGGCTGGATATTTGCATCTTTATTGACCCTGCCTTCCTCTCACAAGGCTGTGCTCTAAGAAAAATTGAAGGCAGCCCAGCACTCTGAACTTGTGAAATCCAGTGTGCCCAGCAAATGATTTCTATGAAAAAGCAAAGATTTTCTAGTTGCCCGACAACAAAAGTTACAGATGTAGGCACCACGGGCCACAGAGCACAGCCTAGTCTTGGTCAATAAAACTGCAAAAATGAATGAGGCCAATATTCAGCCATCTTGAACGAACAAGCTTGGTCAATAAATGAATTATTACATGGCCAAGAAGAGAACTTTTACTTGCGGGACCAACGCCGTAAATCCAAAGTGGGCAAAATGGGCTCATCTTGCCCGCTTGGGTAGCCAATTAGAATGCAAGGTTTGCTTCATCTTGCCCACTCAAGGTAGCAGTTGGACATTTTTTGTGTTTAGTATGGAAGTAGTATTTCAAGATTAATATTTTCAGAACTTGACTAAGCATAAAGCACAGTAACTTGAGACTGAAATTAAGTTCCATGATCCAGCCTGCTTGCTTTGAGAGAACATTCTGCACCAGCATCACATACCAAAGTGATCTGCCTGTTGTATGAAAAACAAAACAAAGTACTAATAAGTAAAACACAGAGGCTATTCCCCAGGCTATCGGTGGGGGGGGGGGACCTTTGAGCAGTAAGGTTACTTCACTAATGTAGATATTCTCATAAGAATAAAACATACTAAATGAGTAATATAAATATAATTTACTGGCCGCCTACTTTGACAACTCAGCCGTCTACATGCACTTCAAAACTTTCTGACAACCCTGATTAATCACATTACATTAACATACAGTTGTGTTTCATACTAATAGCTAGTACACTATGT